GGCAGTACTGGAGCTGTGACTGGGTGACCCTGCTGGTGGCCTGATCCTGGAGGGTCAGCAAGGATCCTGATGGGGACATGGGCCTATGAGCTCTGTCAGTGTCATGCTAAGCAGGAAGAAAAGACACTGGGTGTCTGTAGATACTCATCGTGGGGGCTTCTGTTCTCTGGGGACTCTGCTGGTTGAGGCATCTCATACATCTTGAGGTACAGAGCCAGGCCAGGGGCAGCTCTGGACCAGCAGCAAGATGCAGTCAGTCCTGCCTGTCTCATGATACCTGGGCAGCAGCAGTGTCCTCCTCTCCTGCTCACTGCAGGTATCTCTGAGCCTGCTGCTCAGAAAAGCTGCTCCTGGCTTCCTTTCAGATCTCAAAGCAGGTCTTAGCAAAGAAGCGCTGAGCTCAGTAAGTGAACCCTGAGAGCGGAGATTCATCATGTGGGATGCAAAAAGGAGCCCAGTTTCATGGTACAGGAATCTGCTCTGCATGGTACAGAAGCTGGGGGGGTGACTCACCACTCCTGTGGTGGCAGGAGTAAAGTCATGGGGTGACAGCAGGGCTGGGGCAGATTTAGGGTGCAGTGGGAGTCCAGATGGACATGAAAATTTGAGGGACAGGTGCCAGCTGAGAGTGGGGGGACCTGCTGGTGTCAAGTGCTGGGGTATCCTAGCAGACCTCCTTGGACTTTCTCTGCCCAGGTCATCAGGCCCTGGCACATCCTCAGGTCACAGTGGCTGACCATGGACCCTGGATGTCAGTGCTGAAGGAACTCTGGAACGCGTGTCCAATGGAAAAGCCTGATATATACTGGAAGGGAGAAGGGAATGCCTTTCCTTCCTGTACCCCTCCTGGCAGCCAGATCCCATGCTCAGACCGTAAGTGTGCAACATACAGTGACGCACATAATTCATATAATCAAAAAATGGTTTGGGTTGGAAGGGACATTAAAGATCATCTAGTCCCACCCCCACTACTGTGGCAGGAATACCAGTCACAAGACCAAGTTACTCGAAGGCCCATCCAGTCCTGCCCCATCCCTGAACATTTGAAATCCCACAAATTTCCATTCAGCAGCTGAGCCATGATGGGCAGGGGCTGCCAGGCTGGGGATGGGCATGCAGGTGACTCTGGCACATCTGTGGCCATTAGTTTGGGATCATAAAACAAAAGTTCAAGCTCATATTAACCCCTGGGAGCTGTGTGTGACCTCAAAACATCTGAACATCCAGATTTTGGGCCAGCCTAGCTGCAGCCAAGCCTGGGGACAGGACATCTCCCTGAACTGCCTCAGGAGCCACAGGAGCCACTTCCCAGGTCCCTGGTCAGTGAGATCCTGCTTGTGGCAGCAGGCCAGGAGGGCTGAGGCTGGGCTGGCACTGGGGCACAGCCTGGTTCCCCTCCATCTGGAGGAAGGACAGTGCTGCTCTTGCAGCCCCATCCTGGGGCTCAGCAGTGAAACTGGTCCCTGCTGTACTGACTTCCTCCCCTGGGCCCTTCACTGACTCCCTCTCTGCCTCAGTGCCTCCAGCTGTACACTGAAACCCACCAGGCTCCTCTGAGTGAACTTCTGTGGCAGCATTGCCCATGAGCAGCTTTCATGGCCCAGGGCCCTTTTTCCCTGGCTGGGATGCTCCTGGGGCAAGGGCTGGTCTGGCACCAGCAGCTGCAGGTGTTGCAGAGGGGAGGGCAGGATGCCACTCCTGGGGAGGAGCACGTGTGGGTGTGAGCACTGACTTCCAGCTGCAGGCAGAAGACATTTCAGACACTGATTTCTTCTCTGTAGTGCCCAGTGACAGGACCCGAGGGAATGGCCTGAAGTGTCAGGGAAGGTTTAGGTTGGATATTAGGAAAAGGTTCTCACCCAGAGGGTGTTGTGTACTGGAACAGGCTCCCCAGAGAAGTGTACATACCACCAAGCCTGATAGAGCTCATGAAGTTTGGACAGTGCTCTCAGGCACATGGTGTGACTCCTGGGGAAGTCCTGTGCATGGCAAAGACTTGGACTTGATAATCCATGTGGGTCCTTTCCAACTCAGCTCATTCTGAGATTCTGAGATTCTGAGATTCTGAGATTCTGTGATTCTGTGATTCTGTGATTCTGTGATTCTGTGATTCTCCAAGGTATGGCCCCAGTGATGGGGCCCCTGCTTCAGAGGAAGGATGCAGACCTCTTTGCATCATGGATACACCTTTGGGAACAGAAATCCCAAATGAAAGAAAGGGGCAGGGAATAGTGCTACTGCTGTTGGCCTTCAAGAACTCTTATGACCGGTTTGCAGCACCGAGCAAGGTGTCAGTGTGTGGCTTTCCACATGCACCACGAGACTGGGAGGAAGATGGGGAACTGAGCTCTGTGCAGGAAATATGGCCCAAGCATGTTCCCAGGAAAGGGCTGCCTGCTGGTCACAGCCAAAACACGCTTTGTTTCCATGACATTGCATAAGTACCAAAGACTGAAAAGTCCAGGGATATCTTAATCAGCATCAAAAAGGGGAAATATGTGGAAATGAGGAAACAGATTAAGCAGCATGGTCACAGTGTCCAGCAATCCTGCAAAGAGCTAAGGCAGCCCTTCAGAGCTCCTGGTATCAAAAGGTAGAGGCAAAGCAGCAGGAATAACCACCAGGGCCAGAGGTTATTCAAAACAGAGAGGCTCCTTCAAAGAGAAAAAGTCATGTCTAGAGGACAAAAATAGTGTCAGACAGGTAAGACGTAATTTCTTGATAAGGCAAACAAAAAAGTGAGCAAAGGATAGCCTGTAGAAGCAGTCAGCAGCTCTTTTTGCAAACACTTCAAGAACTCCAGACCTGCCACGTCTGTAGGGTTGACAGGAGAGTGTGTCCCCACAGCAGAGGGACATCCCTGGGGTGACATGATTACTGCAAAATGTGGGTCCAGTGCCAGAGTCCTGCAAGGTTTGTGGTGAAACAGGACACACTCCTGGCAGCATGCCTGGACCCTGGCATTGCAGCAGGACCCTGGCATTGCAGAAGGACACAGCTCCTTGCCTGCACCTGCTGAGATCCAGCCTGCCCATCCTCCCAGCTGAGCCAGACCTTCTGTCTGCAACTGCCTGTGTGGCTTTTGGTTTGCCTGGTGTGACCAGAAGAAGTTGGACCCTCTAGAGAAAGCAGAACTGTCTTCTAACACCCCTCCATCCTCCCTGACAGAGCCCAGGTTACACTCAAGGCTGAATTTTTGTGATGTGGGGCAAGGAGAAGTGTGAAGAATTAGAGAGCCTCCTGACAACTGCTTGGGCTACACTTTGTCCATGGTTTTGAGGTTTCATGTGGGACCATGAAGGATTTTCAGGGGTGCCAGATACTGTTAACATAGGAGCTGAGAGTCCTTGTTCTGCTGGGAATGGTGCAGAGTGGGACCATGGATGTGATGTTTTTAGACTTTTTTAATTTAGGTAATTCTCCTACTCCTTTTGCAAAGATCCTCCAAACTGAAAAACCTATTCCTACTGACACCATTTGATTTATAGGCCTTAATTTCTTTTTCTTGAAAGGCCCAGATGCACAAAGGGGCAGGGAGAGGAGACCTCTGAATTGCTGCAGTTGCTGGAGGCAGAGCAGCATCTGCTTCCCTCCACTCCCCAAACCCCCCAGATGCCTGAGACAGGGCACACCTGCCTCCCAAGTACCTCCCTGCTGCCATGCCTGTCTGCACTTGCAGTCCCAGGACACCTTTTCCAGGGCAAATACGTTTGAGTACAGTGAACTTTCTGTGGGTGAGCTTCATATGTGAGCAAAGGAAATAAAGAGCAGGTTCACAGAGGTGGGGACTCCTGGCCCTGCAAGCTCTGTTGCAGGAAGAGGTGAAACTCAGACAAGGGAGACTGATTTTCTGAGCTTAGGAGGGAATATGGCTGGGCAGTCTCCTGCTCTGTCCCAGAGAGGTGAAAGACTGCAGGGGTGCCTGCCCTCAGGCAGCCCCTATATTGGAAGAAAAGAAGAAAACAATAATTCTACCATGATTTGCTCAGGGTTAGTTTTTGGGGATGGGTGGGGGGGAATATATTTGGAGAGGACCACTCTGCACTGGCCTGCTTAATGCTGCAGAATAAAGGTGTTGCAAGGTGTGCAAATCAGCAGAAAGCAGAGCCTGACCCCAGGTGTGCAAGCACCTGTCCTTGCTGAGGAGCACAACAGAGGGGAGCTATCACAGGGGACTTCAGCCTGGCTGTGAAGCCTCAGAGAAAACTTGAGGGCTTGTTTTTCTCCTAGGTGTGTGTTTCAGTTGGGATGCAGGCCAGGCACATTCAGCAAGGTGTCTGGGGAAACACAAATTCATCAGCTCCTGTGCTGGACCTCCTCTGATGGTTGGGTCTGCTGCTGTGGCCAGTGCCATCAGCCTTCAGCTGCACAGACAGCCTCACCAGCAGTCCCTTTTATCCCCACTGCCTGAGCTGGCCTCCCACCCCTTCATGGTCATTCATACTCCCACCAAGTTTTGACAAAACCATGTGCCACAGCAGATGAGCTCGAGGCCTCCAGGGCTCTCATCCCCTTCTGCCCAAGCATCTGTTCTCAGCCCAGCCCTGAGCACCCAACCACTCCTGACAAAACCTTGGCTCTCCCATCCATGGCACACACTGCCAGGTAACTAAGATCACCTGTGTCCTTCAGAAGTCTGTTTTATCACACTCCTTATCAAGGCAGTAACAAGGTGAGGACTGTCCTGATGTAGTCACTGCTTGACTTTCTGTGTGAGCATGGAAGCCACATCTTCCTGTTAAAGCCCAGCCATGAACCAGAACACCTCATGAGTCCTTCTGAAATCTGTGCTGGGAAAAGAGGTAACCCAGCTGGGTTAATATCTGGTCCTGACAGAAGACCTAAAATCTGGGGTTTTAGACAAGAAATTAGAGACAGGAAGGTTGCAAAAGGGTCATGGAGCTGAAAGAGAAAGAAGGCAGCACTGACACTGGCGGAGTTTCCCTCTCCAATGAGGAAGCCTCTTGCACCATATGTGATTTCTCTGCGTGCCTGTTTCCTTTCCATGCTTGCACCACTCACAATCAGGTGGCTGTGCAGTGAGGCAGCTGGTGTAGCTGAGATCTCAAACCTGCGCTGGGAACATAGGCAAACATGGCCCTGCAATGGATGTTTCTCCTGCTCCTCACACCTCTGCTGGCAGCACTAAATCATGGTAAGTCCTATCCCAACAATTATGGAAAACCCCAGGAAAGAGGTAAGCAGTGCTCCCTCCTCTGCCCCCAAGAGCAGGTTTTACTTTGCAGAGCTGCTGTGCAACTTTATGGCATGCAGGATACAGCATTTGCATCAGAGAGGTCTTTCATCCACACTGGGGCCCGAGTCCACCAGCTGGGCTGTGGTTAGGCAGAGTTCTGTTTGGGGATGGAGAGCAGCAAAGCTTGGGGTGCTGAGGAAACCTCTGCAGAGTCTGGAGTGTTCCTCCATGGAGCTGGCAATACAAGGTGTCCATCTGTCCTTGCACAGGGTCAGGGTGCCATGTCCTCACCACAGAGACGATGAGTACCTGGGGAGACACGAGCTGAGCCCCTGCGTGTACAGGAGAGCCTGGGGCAGGAGTTATAATATTCTGGGATTGCTCTTTAATGGACTTCCTTGGTGCTGGAAGGAGGAGGGCACCCCCAGGGTTCTGATGGGCTCTTCCTACACTGGCTGCACATTTTGATGCCAGCAGAGTCAGTGGGAATTTGCAGGCTCACATGTTATCTGTCCTCCCAGGAGGCTGCACTGACTGGCAATTGAGCTGTGGGTCCAGGAGCTGTGACCTTGCATTGCTCTGGATCTGTCTGAATTGGAGTATTTTGGAGCTAGGTGATAAAAATAATTAAACTAACATCTAATCATGTCATCCCAGTCCACTGTGGTGTTGTATCTGGGTGGATGCAGGCTAGAGAAAACAGTTGATCTAGTGGCTGTGACAGAGCACGGGGAATGGGATCAGAAACTTTAATTGCTGATGTGAAGTGACATCAGGGTCTGTGCTATGTGTGAGGTGTCACGGGAGCCTGTTTCCAGGGAAAATATATCTGTGTGGTTGCAGGGAGTGTAAGCACAGCACACTGCCACTCAAAAAACAAGGGCTACTCTCTAACAGAGTATATTCTCCTGCCCAGAGTGTCTTTTCATTGCCCACATCCCTGCTGAAGCTGTTCTCCTAGGCCAACATGTGCAACCATGTCCAAGCGTTGTGTAGCTTTCCTGTTAGTAAAGGTTTCCAGGTTTCCAGGTACACACTAAGACCAGGATCTGACTGTGTTATGTACAGTGGGATACAACAGGGACCTGTAGGCCTGCAGACTCTTGTCACACTCTGCAGATCTCAGTCACCCAGCCATCCCCAGAGGAGTCTGGGGCTGCCTGTGACAGAGATGATATTGCTGAGTTTGCACCTTGGTGCCTGTGAAAAGAGGAACCAAGACAAAAACATGTGGTGGCCGCACCCAGCACTGTGAGCAGCCCTGCCTGCATCCTCAGCATGTGGGCTCATCCCATCCTGGCACCTCTGCTGAGGTCCAACCTGATGGGTCAGGGTCCTTCTCTTGCAGAGGGACAGGGCAAGGAAGATGGCCCAAGTGAGGCAGGAGGGTCTCTCCCATCCCTGCTAGGGTGGAGTGGGCTGACAGTGGCAGTGGGACAGTGGGACAGGGTAAAGCTGTTGGACAGAGAGAGGGAACAGTAGGGTGGGATCCATGAGCATATCCCACACCCCTGGCGTGCACAGTGCCACAGACAGCAGTGCAGGGAACAGCAGTGCAGCCACAGGCACAGGATGTGGTTGGCCCTGCTGCTCTGCTCTCCCCATCACGGGAACGCCGTGCACCGAACAGGGTGTGTTGTGTCATTGTCCTGTTGTCACCTTATTGTCTTGCTGTGCTGCTCTCACAGGGCGTTTTTCCTCCCTGAAATGCCATACTTGTACAAAACTCTCCACAGCTTACAGTCCCAGTGCACCTGGAAGGCAGGTGGAGAAGCTTCTAGGGCATGTTTTCTATGCAGAGGAAGGGTCTGGGATACAAGCTGGCCCTGACCCCATTTTCATCAGCCTTTCTTGACGCTGTAGTGATCTAGTGGCAGCTGACAAGAAGTTTTAACAAGGAGCACAGCTGCAGTGACCAGGGGGTGAGAGGCTGGTAGCTAAAACTAAGCCACAACCAATCTGAAAGGTTTTGTCTCAGCTGAATTCCAAACAGTGCCTAGAATAGAGCCTATGGGGAACATGAGTGCTAAGAGACACTGCAAAGGAGTGCCTGGGGCTTGACACCCTAGGGGTGGTGAACTGTGTGCTCCACCATGCTTCCACTTCCCATCACCAGAGCACAGATTCAGGAAACACGAATTTTGCCTCCTGCTCTTAGACAGGTGTCAGATGTCCTTTAGCACCTGGTGGACCACTACAGATTAAAGTGCCACCACGTCCCAGATCTTCCCACATTGCCTTGTTCAGTGACTTGTTTTGCCACCCCCTTTCCCTGCCATGACTCCCAAGCAGAGCTTCACCAAGGTCTCTGTGCTCCATCACTCTTAAAGACCCACTCAGCAGCTTTGGTTGCTAGTGAGGAGTGGAGAGATACTCTAAGGCCCATGCTTGTGTTCCCAGTGCCTTGCAGTACAACTCTCCACTGGTGGAAGGAGTGATTGCTTTTCTTAGCTCTCTCAGCAAGCACATGGCATCAAACACAGCAAGACTGCAGTGCACTTTGCTGTCACCTCTCTCAGCTGCTGAGCTGCCCTGCCAAAAGGGTTGAACTTCGCCTACTGCTTCTTAGATTTCACCTTGTCCTTTATTCTTTGTGTGTGAGATAATATAGTGTAAGAAAGGACACCTTTTGCTGTTAAGCAAAGGGCTGAACCCAGGAGTCTGACCTGAATTACCAGCATAGCTGTTTCTCCTTTCTCCTGACCCTCCCCTTCTGGCCCGTACTGGGGTTTTGTTTAGCCTGCCAGGCTCACAACTCCTTGCAGCAGGGACCAGCAATCCAGATATTTCTGAAAAAGACTTTCTATATTCATGGGCAATAGCAATATCAGCAAGGAGGGTATTAATTTAATCGCATCAACTAGGAAAAAAAGCAAAACAGTAAATATCTGCCTTTAGGAGGCAAAAAAAGAAATAACCTTTTGTTACCGCTCCTGTTTTAGGCATTCAGTATTTCCCATTTCACAGTGAGCACACATTGCATGCTACAAAAGGTGCCTATTTGGTCATATCTACACCATATTTTCCTTGCTGAAATTTCGCTTGACTCAGCCTCCTTCCTCTAGCTGGGGCGGCGAGCCTGTGGGCGGCTCTCTGCATACCACTGTTCAGGGTAAAAACAGTGTCTGAGAACTCTTCCATTACTCTCCCACCTGCTGTTAATCCCAGCAAGATTGGAAGCTGAGCGTTTCTTCCCCCTTTCTGTCTGAGCACTCTTTTTTCTCCATCAGGGTGCCAGCCCCCTAATACATCCGACTGCTTTGCACAAGTGGGGTGTTCCACTTCTCCAGTGGAGGTCCCATGGACACTTCCAAAGCACACAAAAAGCCACCCTGGGTGAGAGCACGAGCTCTTTTGCTCCAAGGTGCCCTTTTCCCCTGGCAATTTTTATGGAATGGATATGGAAAGGCGTATAGGGAGGGTGAGCACAGTGGTGTCCCTCCCAGCCTGTGCATCTTGACTGCACACAGCAGCCATGGATTGATTTCTCCCAACAAGTCTCAAGTGCTAATTGCATGCCTGACAGGCTTGGACTTAATGCAGATGTGAGGCTGAGTTGGATTGTAATCAGCAATGTTCTTGAGACAAAAAACAGGCATGGACTGAAAGTGTCTTCTCTTCCCCATTCTGCAGAGAAGCAGAGCTTTCTAGGCTTTACTGTCAATCAATCATCAGAAATGCCACCAGGAGGGACTCTGAGCAGCTGCAGATGCCTGGATGCAGATGGTGCCAGTGCTGTGACACGGAGTTCAGCTCCTCTGCAGCCTCAGGAATGTGGGCAGGAGGCAAGCCCTGAAGGGGCTGTGATATTTGGGCACTGCTGGCAGGGTGCTCTGTGTGCAGGTGGTAAATAGGCTTTGGCAGGCCCCCAGGCTGTCCTGCTGGTGTGCACTGTCCCTCTGCAAGGCAAGCAAGCTTTTTTTGCCATACCCATCCCTCTGACAGGCACTCTTAACTCCCAGGATAACTGGATAACTCCCAGGATTCTGATGCTGGTGCATTCCCTGTAGTGGTACTCCAGCCACTGGATTCTTTGAGTATGGGAATGAGCTGTGGGCTCCGCCTGCCTTTTCTGATCTCTCCCACCCAGCCCCTGGGCTCTGCTCAGCATGGTCCATGCCCAGCTTGGACCTGGGTGCTGAATCTGCCTCTGGCTGCCCCTGAGCACAACAGGGGCACATTTGGCAGGGCAAAGGGTGCAGGAGAGCCTGTGAGGAATTAAGAAACTAGGGGCAAACGATCACCTCCATTCCCAGATTCAGAGAGATGCTGTTTGTGTTCTCAATGGCTTGCAGTGCAACTCTCCAGTGCAACTGGAAAAAGAGTGGTAAACAGTGTCTGCTCTTCTTAGCTCCTCTCAGGAAACACATGGCATCAGACAGCTCAGAGAGCTTGGGAAGGAAAGGATGAATCGCAGAGGACAGAAATCCCCCTGCTGCTTGCAGGGAGCCCTGCAGGCAGAGAAGAAAAAAGGAGGGAGCAAGAGGGTTTGCCGGAAGGACTGCTCTCCTGCGTAGTCTTTGTGTCCAAAGGACAGACGTGGCCACTGACACACTTCTGGCACACGTGTGGTCTTTGCAGAAGCACGTTTCATGTGTCCACCCTTGCCGGAGGCTGCTCTGGAATCTGTGCTGCATCCCAGCAGCATCCCAACATTCCAGCTCCCCAGACACTGACAGGAACACTGAGGAGACCCTGGATCAGGTCTGCACATCTGTGGAGGCCTTTTCACCTGAAAAAAAAGATAACAGAGAAGAGGCTGATGTTACTGGCAAAGGATTAAGTCTGATAAATGCCCAGGTCTAAGAGAAATGATTTGCTGGAGTCCTGGTGAAGGTGGACAGCCTAGTCAGAAATATGTGGCTGTTATGCCAGCTGAGCTCATGCAATCCCTTCACAGGGATTCCAGCCCAGGAATCTTACACAGCACCTACTTTCTTGTGCCCAAAACCAAGGAAAAGTAACCTGAGTTACAGGGGGCAAAAGCAGGGACGGGCAGAATAAAAACCATCCTGCTGTAGGAAAAGACCAGATTCGAGACCATTTGAGGTACCTGAAGGTCCACTAGTTCATGGGGCCTGATGAGATGCATGTGTGGGTCCTGAGGGTGGAGGAAGAGGCAAAGACATTACCCATCATAGCTGAGAAGCTGTAGCAGGCAACTTCCAGTAAAGCTCCCACCGACTGTAAAAGGGGAAGCACAACCCCCTTTTTAAAAAGAGGAAATGAGGGAGGCCCAGGGAACTACAAGCCAGTCAGTCTCCCTTTGGTGAGGGACAAGATCATGGAGCAGTTCCTGCTGGAAACTATTCTAAGGTACATGGAAATTATTTGTGATGGCTTCACAAAGAGCAAATCATATCTGAGCAATTTGTTTGCCTTCCATGGTGGAGTGACAGTGTTTGTGGATAAGGGAGGAGCGACTGACATAATCCACCTGGACTTGTGCAAGGCATTTGACACCATCTTGCATGACATCCTCCTCTCCAAACTATGAAGGTGTGGATTTGATGGATGGACCACTTGGGGAGGGAAGAGTTAGCTGGATGGTCACACTCACAATATTTTGATGTCCACTGGCACAGGATGCCCAGAGAAGCTGTGGATGTCCCTGAAAGTGTTCAAAAAGGTGTTCAGACTGTGGATGGCTTTGGGCAACCTGGTGTAGTGGAAGCTGTCCCTGTGCATGACAGGAGGGCTGGAACTAAGGGATCTTCCTTCCCTCCCAAGCCATTCTATGCTTCTATGAAAGACTGAATGAATCCTAAGTGCCTGTAAACAATAATTAGCATAATTCTAAATATGCCTAGTTTCATTTCTGCAGAAGTAGCACCTTTTAGTACAAGGAAGAATTACAAACTTTAAACTAAGACTAGCCCCCACTTGTGCTACAGTAAGTCTGCTCTGTACTGCACCTCTAAACCAGCAACCATGAGATGTGGCTTTTCAAACACAGTTACCCCTGGCCTCTGCAAGGATGCCTGATAAGTCTAGAGAGGTTCATTCACAGTTGTTTCAGCAGTAAGAGCTTTGCCCTGTGAAAAGACTCGGGGAGAGCTGGAAGCAAGGCAGAGCTCTGCCACCTTGCCAGCAGAATATCCATGTTTGTGGAAAGAAGCTGTCCCAGATACCTCTTGAAATCTGCACCTGCATCAGCAGAGTGCCTGCAAAGGAGAATTTCTCTTTTCCTCCTGGTTTCCTGCCCAGCAGGTTGCCATGTGTGGCACTGCCAGTGGGTTTTGAGTGCTCTGGGAGCTCTCACAGCTACAGGGAAGTGTGGAAAAGGAAAACTGGTGAGACCCCCTTGAACTGAAGTCAAGAGTGGGGCAATGTGGGAGAGGCCAGCCACGCTCCTGAGCACTCACAGCCCCCTCAGATCCTAAGGCTGCCTCCACTGAAGAATTTCCACCCCCTCAAACTGCTTCTTGCTTCAGGCCAGGCCCCACATGTCTTTTCAAGAAACTATAGTTCACTTTCAGTGGTGACTCTAGGGTCAAAGAAATACCTATCAATGAATAATCTCCATACGGGCACCATTTGGGGCCCTGAAATGCAAATTAGAACATGAGAAATTATTTCATGAATAGCTCTCACCTGATTGAAGTGCTCAATTTGCCAGTCTGGGAGTACTTTTTTTCCCACTTATTTGTCAGGGGCTTCATTCTGTCTGGGGTGGTGCAGGTGCTGAGGTCCACTATTGCATGAGGTATGCAGAGCACTCCTGGTTTCCTGGGGAGTCCCGATGCCACTCAGGTGTTGTAGGACTTGGTGCAAACTTTCTGTGCCTGCCTGACTTCACCCTGGTAACTCTGGACAAAGTTTGGGTAGCTACAGCTAAATTTTTGTGGTAGAGGAACACTCAAAGAGAGTTACAATTCCTTTGTGGATTCGATCAGAGGGTAAAGACCCAAATTAGGGCCATGCAGACAGCCAGCAGCACTCCTGTCTAGAATTTAGTAAAAACGAATATGGAGATTTACTTCAATCAATTTCTCAGCCTACATGTTGCAAAACACAACCAAAGGTGCAGCTGGTGAAATACCTACATGGAGTCCCTGACAAGCCCCTCCTGCCAGCTCAGATGAGGGGGTGTCACTCGTCTTGGGTGAAGGTGGGAGGTGTATGGGATGGGAGGTAGCTGCTCCTAGGAGCCAGCAGACATTTTGTGAGAGGGATGGAGAAGAGGAAATAACAAGTGTAACATCCAGACCAAAAGCAAAGTGGCAACTTGAGTGGGATTTTGCCGCAAACAAGAGTCCGTGTGGGTGTGAGCAGATCGTGTCCAGCAGAATGACAGGAATGTTGGTGAGTGGTGCCAGCAGACACCCTGGTGCACTCCCACAGCCCCTGTGTTTGTGGGAGAGAGCAGCACCCCCCAGGCTGCTGGATCCCTCTGGCTGGGGTGCCTCCGCAGCAGTGGGTGGGCAGGAGGGCCTGTGGATAACCCTCCTGCACTGCCCCTGAGGCTGTGGGGAGGGATAAAGCATCCGGGGGATGGGGCCATCCTGGGAGGTGCCATCTCTGCCACCCCTCTGAAGAGAGGGCCACTGGCCCCCCTCTGCATGGAACACCCTCATCCTCAAGGATGCTGCTGGAGCCCAGGCATGGAACACCCTCATCCTCAAGGATGCTGCTGGAGCCCAGTGACCCTCAGGCTCTGCCTCCTGGTCTTTGCACACAGGAAAATGTAAACTTCCCTTTCACTGGGACCGCAAGCTGAGGTTTAACCCAAGAAAGGGCGATGGCTATGCCTTGGATGAAGTGGTGCAGCTCAGCTGTGCTGGGAAGCCTTTTTGGAAGTTTGCGCCATCTGTGCCACAGATCCAATGCGTTTCCAGAGGGGCCGAGATCCTGTGGAATGAGACTGCCAGCTGCAAAGGTAAGCACAGCCCTGCACCACCCTGACCCAGGGTCCTGAGCTGGTGACAGACCCTCTGTGACCTGGTCATGCACATGACAGTGCAGGCATGGGAGACCTGGACGCCTTGGCTTTCCCCCATGTCCTGGCAGTGACAATGCTCTTTTTGTCTCAGCACCTTGCTGTAGGCACCTGCTGGGCTCTGTGCTCCTGGGAGGGGTTCAAAGGCAGGAATGAGAGTCCCTGCGCTGGGGGGCTACTGTAAGCCCTGTGCCTTCAAACAATGATGGGGTGTATGGCCAAGGTGGTGGGAGGGGATGGAGTTCCGTGTGAAGACTGGGGAGGAATTCTGCCCAGCCTTGTCCAAATGGAGCCTGAGTCGGGAAGCCTGCAAGAGTGTGGTAGGCACGGATGGGACTGCTCTTGGGTGGTCTGCTGCCACCAATAACTCAGTTCTAGGCTGCAAGAGAGGGATCAGGAGTTGCATGTAGTAACCAAAGGAGATGGGCCCTGTCAAAATCAGAGCAAAAGATATCCCAGAAGACCTCTTCCCATCCTGTTTACATGTGCTCCTTCTCCTCTCCTCTGCAGAGAGATGCCAGCAGCCCCAGTGGGACTCACAGCTCCAGTTTAGCCCAAACCAGAGATTTTACTGGGTCAAGGAAAAGGTGACATTGAGCTGCTTTATGAATGACACTTCTCCCCTTGCTGTGATCAGATGTGAAAGCTGGAAGGATGCTTGGGATGTGTTGGGCACTCGGGGAACATGGCACAGGTTGGCAGAGAACCTGACCTGCACAATGGGTAAGTTGGGAACCAGTAGGTCTCCCCTGCAACATGCACTTCTCGCTGTGGAGGGGACCTGGGCATCCTGCCAAATCTGATACACCTTGGGCACAGCTCACTCAGGTCCCAGCTGCAAGCAGTCCTCAAGATGGAGAGGGTTAGAAGCCTTCAATGTGGGACAGGTTTTCTCTGTCCCTGCATCTCTTCCTTATCTATTCCTGAGTTGTATGTCATGGGGAAGTTGGAGGGGGACAGGTCCAGTGCCTCAGCTTTCACCTCTCTCCCAGTGTCCTGTATCACCTCCTTGCCCAGGCACATGCTCTTTTTCTGCTCTTGGGTTTCCTCACGGTGTAGAATGCTGACATGAACCACAGCTCATCATGGAAAAGCCTTGGTCCCTCTCCTGCCTGAGCATTCCCTCACTGAGAAGGATTCTCACACTTTCTCCCTGACAGCAAAATGCCCAAAACCTCAGTGGGATTCAAGACTTCAGTTTTCAGAGAACGAAACTGAATACTTACAGAATGCAGAACTGACACTGACCTGCCCCAAAGATCTTGAGCCATCCTTCCCTAAGGTCAAATGTACAAAGGAATTCCAGCGAATGAACTCTGGAAAAACGGTCTATGTAGGTGCCTGGTGGGGCAGGAACAGCACAGGTGCCTGGACACTCATTGAGAGGGATGTCCTGTGTATGGGTAAGTGAGGCTACAGCAGCTCTCCCATGTCTCCCTGCTACCTTCACCCTCCTTGGGGCTGTGCTGCCTGTGCAAACTGCTGAAAAGGACAACCCAGGCAGGAGACAACAGACCAGGTAGAAACAGACAGCCAAGCTGAAATCTCCTGCAGTGGTTCCTGAGCAGGCCAGGTCTGGGGCTCCCAGTCCAGGATCTGAGGCTGCCACCCAGGTGCCCATGGAAGTTCCATTATCTTTGCTGTGCCTCCCAGTGCTACCCTGGAATGCACAGGTCTGCTTGTTCCCCTGCTGGCCTATGGATAAGGGACCTGGGGACACCTTGTGCACCTGCAGGAGCTGGAGCAGAGGGGAATGAAGGGGTCCTCATAGTGCACAGCTGGCTCAGCCCTTGGCACTGGGACAGGAGGCTGCACGGGAAGGACCTGGGGGAGGAGCAATGCCATCCATCAGGGGATGGGGATGCAGAGCTGTCCCAGGCAGAGACAGAGCTGTGCTCAGTGGGGGCATGGCAACACATGGCAGTGTGCTCAGGAGAGATGGGCAGGGAGAGATGAGATGGGAACATCCCTGCTTTGGGCTGTGGGAGGTGGATGGGTGTCCACAGACAGAAGTGGATAAGGGCAGGTTCATGGATGAGTGATCCTTCACACTTTCAAGCACAAGGAACACCCCTTCCAACAAGGTTTGCCCTCAGGTCAGATCCCAGCAGATGGATGTGTCACCCTCACTCCCTTCAGAGGCTGGAGGGGTTGCTGGGTGTTGGTCTCCCACCACTCACCCATATCTCATCTCCTCACCTCCAGCCCAAATAACACCCTCTTTCAGCTCTCCCAAAAAGGTGCCAAAGGCCCCCACAGGACTCCATACTCCAACTGGCACCAGACCAGGTGAATTATGAAGTGGATGATGAAGTGATGCTGAGCTGCCCTGAAGGTTTCCAGCCATCCTTCACTGAAATCAAATGTCAGAGTGAATTCCAGTACTATGATCATGTGACACCTGTGTACAAAAGATTTTGGCATGGAAGAGACTCCAGAGGTGCCTGGGTCCCCATTCAGTCCAGTCTGAAATGTATGAGTAAGTAAGGGATCAGGAGAAGGATAATCCTTTTCAGAGGGAGATCCTGAGAACATCTCTGAGGGGGGACAGCATGGGAAGGTCAGTGTTTTTCCTTGGGCCCAACACTGAAAGGATGGTGCCTGTGGAAGCAACTCCTGCTTCCAGGCCAGGATAAAATGTCTCCTGTTGTGCTCTCCTATGGCACCAAAGGATGACTGGAGCCACATAGCTCAAAGGGTTTGAGAGAGGCTGGGTCCGTTTTACTGCTGCCTGTGAGCTCTGATGACCAAGCTGGGGACACACTCTCCAGGCTTCCCTATGTTCCTCCCAGAATATCCTGATGTTTGGCTGAACAGGTATGGTTGTGTCACTGGAGACATTCACCCAGTGGTTCACATTCAGTTTCCTAGTGCATCATGATGCCAAACTCCTCCTGCTCCCCTTTGGGAGTGACCACCTTCATTCTCACGTTCCCTCCCACTGGGCTGGGTGATGAGCAAGGTTGTTTGACTGCAGCATCCTTGCATGCCTGGGCTGGGAAGGGAATAACATGACCTTCTGGCAATTCTTCCTTCACAGAAGTCCTCCAGGTTGACCCTGAGACCTTACATGACCTTCTGGCAATTCTTCCTTCACAGAAGTCCTCCAGGTTGACCCTGAGACCTTTGAGATTTCCAGCACCAGCATCAAACTGAACTGGACCTGCAGGTTCCCTGATGCCTGCCAGGGCATGAGGGCCATGTGCCGGCTGGCAGCGCCTTCCTCCCCTCCCTGTGAGGCTGAGGAGGTGAAGGGAGAGCAGATGTTACATGGCCAGAAGGGAACATTCACCTGCTCCCCTCTGCAGCCCTTCACTGAGTACAGTGTCACCATCGACTTGCCCCCCAACACAACCCTTTTCTCATGGTTGTTCACGACAGAGGAAACAGGTATGTGCACAGAAATACCGGAGACGAGGAGCAGTCCAGAGCTGTGTCACAGCTGGATCAATGTGCCCACCACCTGCCAGCTCAGCCTGATCATTTGCTCCCTGCAGGGATGTGCCTGGCATCGGGGCTGCTTGGCTCCTGTGGAGCTCTGGGGAAGGGGCTGGGAGAGCCCTGGGCAGGGCACGTCCTGTCCTCATTGTCCCACTCCCCACCACACTGTTGTGCTTCCCACTGCTGCAGCACATGAGGCCTTTGCAGGGGACAAAGCCTTTGCAGGGAGTCCCTTTTGCAGCCTGTCCCACGGCCAGGAGCTGCCTGCACCCTCCTCCTGCTCAGCCCCTGCTCACGGCCCCGTGTGTGACCCCACTGTGTGCTTCCAGTGCCGGACAAACCGCAGCAGCTGTGGCTGGATGCCGACAGGGGCTCTCTCCGCTGGAACTCGCTGCCCTCCTGCAACGGGGAGATCATCGGATACCAGGTACCGAGGGACCAGGGCAGAGCCTCGGCTCCCGGCCTGGAGCTCTGTGCAGGCAGAATGGGAAGTGTGAGCGAGGGACAGCTGGCATGAGCCACAGCTCCCAGACAGTAAATCTCTGGCCTTGATGAGCACCAGCGTTTTCTGTTTCATTCTCAACATTCCTCATGCTCTGGAGATGCCCAGAGAGCTCTGAGAGCTCCATGTTCTCGGGGCTTCCTTCCTGGCTCTGCT